TATCTAAGAAGTTGCGACGTTGATCTCCGATTAAAAAAAAAAAAAGAAAGAAAAAGAAAAGCCAGGGAAAAAAAAAAAAGAGAAAATGAAAGAAAGAGGAATGTAGTAAGTCTTCCGACGAGTTTCTTCTCTCGTAGCTTCGCTATTGATCGATTCTCGAGGCTCGTTACGTAGATATTCGAGAAGTAGTGGGAGTAGAATAGCCTCGTATTCCTATTTCGAGTCACACACCCCCTTTTGCCACCCTCTCGCGAAGGTATTTTTACGGATCGGACGTGCAAGCGCCGCACAGACACACTAATACACAGGCATACATAAATACAGACGTACACACAAAATACACGTAGACACATATATACACATATATGGATATATGCAGATATCTATGTAGATGTATATATATATATATATATAGATATATATTTTCATACTATTGAACCCTAATGCTTCAAGGGAGAGAAAGCTGAGTTCGGTGAACGGGGAGAAGGGTAACAAGAGAGCACTTCACACGTGCCAATCTAAATAATTGCTGTGATGTGGGTAGCCATGTAGTTCGTTGCTTGCTATGGGGGTTGTGTTGGTCTTCTTTGGATCTTTCTTCACCCTTTCAATTCTCTTTTTCTCTCTTTCTATCTTATATATCTATCTATTTATCTCTATCTTTATATCTCTCTTTCTCTTTCTCTCTCCCTTAGTTAAATTGGACAATGGCTTTTGAATTGGTATTTTGTCACATGTAATAGGACCAGCAGATTCTGCCGAATCGAATGAAAGGATATACCTATATAAATGCATAATTACGTGGATGAAAATTATTGCAAGAACGAATAAATACGTTTTGGTAAATATATATATATATATTTATATATATATATATATATTTATATATATATATATATATTTATATATATATATATATTTATATATACATATATATATATATATATACTTATAGATATTTCTGTAGGTATATCATTATGTATTATATATAATTATTTATGAATTATGGACTTAAAGTTATTGGACGATTAATTACAAAAAAAAAAAAAAGAAGTCAATTAATCTTTCTCGAAACTTTTTTTGAAGACTTTATCGTATTTTTCTCATTATATTTTTCATCTTCTTTTTCTTTTTTTCTCTTTTTCTTTTTCTCTTTTCGTATCGCAATATTACGAATTTTTGATCGATTTTGTTAAAACCACGAACGAATCCTTTATACAACATAATTTATATAGATACGTATGTATATGGTATATCGATAATATGGAATTATCGTAATATCTAATATCTACGAGTTATTACTATAATCATATTGTTAAATCATAGTCTATCGGATTAATTGATCGGAACAATTAATTTCATTGATAATATCGATTTGTCAATTTAATAGTATAAAATAGATACGATACGATATATAATATGAATACGGTACGATACAATGTAATAAAGTTTTTTGTAAAATTTTGGTTAAGGGCCGGAATCGAATAAGAATAGATAGTATTTTTAATTAGCGAAACGAAAGCTGGCTGGGGTCCGAGTTCATTAGCCGAATCAATAGACCGACCATCCAGGAGATATGCGATGTTCTCCCTGGCTAATTACTACGGAGAGCACATCGGCGGCGTCGCTATCGCTTAATTACCAGAACATCATCTTATCGGGAGATATCCGACGTCATTTAGCGCGGTTAATCATTGTCTGATCGATGTAATCTTTAAAAACTTAATATTTATTCGTAATTGTTAATTACATTGGAACAATAACGTTTATTTTTATTTATTTATTTATTTTCTTTGTTTTTTTTTTAATCTGGAAACAACATTAGCCTTGAGAAGTCACGAGAAAAGATTTTAAGAAGAAAGAAAAAAGAAAATAATAATAATAATAATAATAATAATAATAATAATAATAATAATAATAATAGTAATAGAAGAAAAAAGAAAAGAGACAGAACTTCAAATCGGATCGATCGAGGGGGAATGTTGAAATAATTTTTATGGTCCATACAAAAGGATCTTTGTGATTGTTACGATCTGTTAACTTTGATTTTGATCGTAATGGGAATTTGAGCGTATCGGTATCATTATTTCCAGTTAGATTGGACGAGTTAGGTAACAAACTCCGATTCGCAAGGGAATTGTTGGTACTTTCGGTATTCGTCAATCTGTCTCTCTCTCTCTCTCTCTCTCTCTCTCTCTCTCTCTCTCTCTATCTCTCATTCTGACAGTCTTTCTGTGTCCCTATCGGCACAATGCACCAACGGGAACGTCGCTTTCAATTAGACGATGCAACATGCGACTGACTACTATTCGCAATCAGGCATCGATATTCGTCGAGTCAAAAGTCACTTTAATGGTCGTTCGAATAAACGAGATATCTATCACGGTTGATATTCTAATTCATATCTACTATCAAAAGGTTCTATATACGAAAAGGATCAATTAACTGATCGACCCTTATATATCAAACCTATTGTTACTTTTGTGTTAGCACTTATTCGGTTATTAATATCGGTTTCTACGATTGTTCGGTCGATCAAATAATGATATATATATATAAATATATATATATATATATATTATATATGTATATGTATGTATGTATGTGCATATGTGTATATGTAAATTGACACATTGATTGACTTGATATTGTGATAATGAAATAATAGTTGATATATTTAGATATATAGATATATAGATTAATCAGTATGTATTACAAAAATAATATACGTTATTATTATTATTATCATTATTATTATTATTATTATTATTATTATTATTATTATTATTATTATTATTATTATTATTATTATTATTATTATTATTATTATTATTATTATTGTATATACAATTTTATCAAAGTAATAGATATATAATAATTAATGTATTACAGAGTAGAGGAAATTCATGATATGAATGTGATGAAATTTAGATGATTATTTAGAGAATAAATCAATCATATTATTATAATTAAACACACACACACATATCAATTTTATAAAGTTATCAGATACAGTAATTAACATATACCAGAGAAATTGATATATTAATGAAGTCATTGAATTTAATTAGTAAACAGTAGGTCAATCACTTAGTATTATAACCGAATATAAATATTTATTTTAGAAAAAGATCTCAGAGACAACAATTTACATATTTCTTATACGTATAAATGCATCATTATCGATTTAACAAAATTTCTATTATTTTGAAAAACAGATCAATCCGTCTATGCTAAAATTGTTATTGAAAATTGATAGTACATCATATTTAATCAAAAATTTTTAATTATCCGTAGATCATTAGATTTTAATCGTAGAAATCATACCTTATTATCGTTATCATCATCATCATCGTCATCGTCATCGTAATCGTCGTCGTCGTCATCATCATCATCATCATCATCATCATCATCATCATCATCATCATCATCATCATCATCATCATCATCATCATCATCATCATCATCATCATCATCATCATCATCCTCATCATCATCATCATCATCATTACCATCTGTATATTTATTCTTGATGTCATTATCTCCAGTTCGTTGAGTTCAGTTGACGTACTCGAAAACTGTAGGGATAGAGGGGTAGTAGGTAGAAAGGGATAGTGGTAGGTTCTCCCGATGGGGATGCAGAATGCAACGAGCAAGAGTGACGTCGCTTTCAATTAGACGATGCATCACGTTGGTATTGGTCGTGGGCAAGCGTTGATGCTTTGCTGCGTATGTAGAAAGGGTTTCTCTCTTTCTCTCTCTCTCTCTCTCTCTCTCTCTCTCTCTCTCTCTCTCTCTCGAAGTACTTGTCTCCCTTGGGACTCCCTCGAGTTTGACTTCGACCAAGCTGGAGAAAAACCGTACTCGCGAAAATAACCCTCGTCTCCTCTCGCGGATTATACGAAAAGGGAGAAAAAGAAGAAAGAGAGATATAAATAAATATTTATATATATATATATATCCGTGTGTCTGTATGTGAATGTATGGGTATGTATGTGTATACATATATATATATATATATATATAGTCTTTATCCTTTGCTTGATTTTATGTATTTGACAGGGAAGGGCCAAAATAATGTTGCTGTATCGTCAAATTTAATCTTAAATGTGAAATAAACGTATATCTTACGATTGATATTTATTCAAGGGGTTTCATACTTATGATAATGAATCGTAAAATCGATAATAGAGAATACACTTTTCGTCTATCCTCATGAACTTTTATTTGTAGCCAAAATATATTTCTTTGTCGATAGATAATTTTAATAATCTTTTAAACCGATGGAAAGAAAGTAAAAAACTGAGGAAAAAAAAAAAAAGAAAAAAAAGAAAAAGGAAAAAAAAAAGAGAAAAAAAGAAAGAGAAAAAAATTGTACGTTCGTACGTTAGAAATTTTATATCACTATCGTGAAATGGTTTTCCATCATATACGTCGATAGACATTTGAATAATTTATATATGAGTTAGTAAAGAGAATCGTGAAATAGTTTAAAAATTGAATATTTTATAAAATATTCTCTTTCTCTCTCTTTCTCTCTCTTTTTCTCTATTTCTCTCTTGAAAAAAAAATATATAAAATTTTTCGATCGCTCGAACATTAAATAATTGAAATTAAGATGAGTATAGAGAGGACAATGATATTATATGCAAGCAGTTTTTTTTTCTTTTTATATTTTTTTTTTCTTTTTTTTTTTTTATGTTCTTCGAGATAAGTATATAAAGTTCGTTCAAATGAAATGTAATTTAGTTGGTTGGTAAAAGCCGAAGGGTAAGGTCGTTGCGTTCATTATTCTTTGTTTTCCACGCGTGAGAGAAAGAAGCGAGAGAAAGATAGAGAGGAGGACCCTTTACATTTGTTATTTCGTTTTCTCTACCATACTTATTTGATTCCATAGCTCGTCGTCATCGTTCGTCTCGTCAAGTGCCCCTTGTTAATTATATCATTTCATTTTGTCCTCTTTATTAATTCTTTTTTTTTTCTCTCTTCTCTTGTTTTAGGGATCAACGTTGAAAGGAATAAACGTCAACATAAGGAACACCAGAAGCAGCAGCAACAACAACAAAATGGGTCTACTCGTGTATTCCTGAGTTGGTGAGTTTTTCGAATTTATATGAAAAGAATTAATTAAAAATATTTGTGAAAAAAAAAAAAAAATCAACCATTCTCGTTGCTATTCAACTGTCCATATTATTACACAAACACACACACATACACACACACACACACACACACACACACACACATATATATATATATATGTGTGTATATATTGGTTAATTTTATATGATAATCAAATTAATTAAGTTAAAAGGATTCGTATTAATTTGATATTACCGATAGATTTGGTTTAATATTTGTTGAGAAAGTGAAATATCGATGTATATAAATGTATCTATAATAGTATATTATATGTTATAATATATACACATATATATATATATATATGTAATATGGTATATTGCTATTGTTATTATTTACAAGTAATTAATTGCCGACAGCAAGAGATTATTACAGAGTATTTCGTAGAGAACATTCTGACAGTTTGAATCATGTATATATATACGTGTATACTATCTTACTCGTACGAATGTTCGTAATTGAGATTGCACGTTAAATCTCACGATAATGAACAGTGGCGAATCTCTCTCTAGTTCGATCGTTATCGACATCCAACGTCATCCTGTGGTTCGATATTTGATTTCTTTAACTATGATTTCGTCTCTCTCTCTCTCTCTCTCTCTCTCTCTCTCTCTTCGATAATCGACTTCGTATATGCGAAATAAAAAAGAAAAGGTAAAGAAAGGAAAACTTGAACTTTGATCATAAATATAGATTAGATCGATTTATTTCTTAATTAACTTATATTACCCTTTTTGTTTTTATAAAGAAAGAGAGAGAGAGAGAGAGAGAGAGAGAGAGAGAGAGAGAGAGAGAGAGAGAGAGAGAAAATGGAGGAAGTTCTTCGGCGTTATAAAAAGAGTTAATTAATTAATTAATTAATTAACCAAAGACGGTCTTTGAAAAAAAAAAAAAAAAAAAGAAAAGAAAATATCGAGCCAATTAATAAATATAATCCGTCTTCCTTGATTTCGTAAAACATCGAATCTTTCTCTCTCAACGTTAATTGGATTATCTTTTTCTTTCGTCTCATCGTCTCATCCACTTAGTCATTCTCATTCAATTACTTTTCTTTTTTCTTTTTTGCTCCCCTCCCCACCCCGTTTCTCTCTTTTCTTTTCTTTTTTTTTTTCCCCCATATTCGTGATATCACGGATAGGATATAATGTAATTAATTAATTAAGTTCTATTATATCCGACTATGATTATCGGTCAAGTCCAATGGAATCTGAACTTGACTTCTTTTTTACTTTTTTTTTCTTTTTTTTTTTTCTTTTTTTTTTCTACTTCTTTTTCCCCCTTGCTTTTCGTCTTTCCTTATCGTTCTCTCTCTCATGTTCATTCGAAACGTCCGAGAGATAATTTTTTTTCATTCTTTTCTCTCTTTCTTTTTTCTTTTTTTTTTTCATTCTTTTAATCAGACGTTCGACTAAGCAACGATTAGTTAATTGATCATTGATCTTTTTTTTTATTTTTTTTTTTTTTTAATTTATATCTTTAATTCTTCCGTCTTCTTTCTTTTTTCTTTTTCCATCAGAAATGACTTTTTAATTATCTTTTAGATCAAGATTTGTTTCGGCTTAGATTACTGATCGACCAAATGTCGAAGACTTCTCCCCTCCCCCTTTTTTTCTTTTTTTTCTTTCCCACCCTCCTTCTATGTCACCCGTGCTTGTTTTTGTCCTCTCTCTTCGCGCTTTTTAAGTCAGTCGGTCAGTCGATAATTTGTTTTGTACCGAATCGTCGAACAAAACTACAAAAAAAAAAAAAAAAAAAAAAAAAAAAAAAAAAAAAAAAAAAAAAAAAGAAAAAAAAAAAAAAAATAGAAAAAACCAGAAAAAAAATCGTATTGTAACGAGAACGGACCATTAGTCGTCCCTTTTCTTTGGTAAAAGAGCCTTGGGTCGCGCAAGCGCAACCTCGCGAAACGTAATGGTGGAGAAGGGGCTATAGGGTGAACGGGGGTGGTTATGGATTTTCGGGCTCTGCGACCTTCGCGTGACGTCCCACGCTTTTCACGTTCTACACGATCCTCCTGTTGTTCCGAATAAGCAACTGTCGGACGTGTGTCCATGGGATTGGTTGGATCCAACGGGATACACCGGATGTTTCTTAGCATCTAATATGTCCGCCTTTGTCTTGTCTCACTTCGATCATATATATATATATATATATATAAGTTTTTTCTTTTTTGTTGTTGTTTCCTCGTTGAAACGAAAAATAAAATTCGCAAGCTCGTTGTTAACAATCTCATTAAACTTTACGATGATTTCGAGACGCACGTTACGATTATTAGATTATTTTGGAAATATTGTTTCAATCATTTCGTTTATTACATCGTCAATGATAATAATAATAATAATAATAATAATAATAATAATAATAATAATAATAATAATAATAATAATAATAATAATAAACAAACGACATATCGAAGTTTTTGAAAAGTCTCAAATGCTTGTAGATTTGAATGGAATAATTAAAGACATAGAATACGGATCTTTCTCATCGTTTAAAAATGTTAATCGGTTTACTCCTTTTTTTTTTTTTTTTTTTTTTTTTAATGAATATTACGACATAAATTTATTTATTTCAATTATCATCAACGATTAGTTTGATGTTTGTTGAGAAGCAAAAAAAAAAGGAAAAGAAGGAATTGAACGTAAGTTCACGTTGATCATAAAAGTTCGTTTGATTGGAACGTAATTTGTCGGATCGTAATTAAGAAATTTGTCGAAATAAATGGATTTTCGATTATATAAAGGAATCATTGAAAAATATTACGTGATAATTATAATCATTATCAAATATTTTCGACGAAATATTTATTATTTTCTTTTAATACGTTAATACGTTGTTTAAGAGATCGATGATAGAAGTATTTAAGTGGAAGCTTGAGGCTTCGACAGGGACAGGGAGGAGGATGGAAGGGGGTTAAGTTATTATACGACCCAAATTCAGAAACGTTTGGTTATTATCTACAAAGGGTATTTATTGGTGATTTAACGTACCGTATAAAATACCTCTTTGGTAACCTTTGAGATCTTACCTTTCGGATGTCACATTGGAGAGGAAATCGAAACGCTTGCGGCTACGGCCGTTTCTCACGGATGCGGACAGAGTCACAGGGACAGAAAGATAGATAGATAGAGAGAGAGAGAGAGAGAGAGAGAGAGAGAGAAAGAGATAGATAGATAGATATACAGAGATTCAATTTCCTTTGTGGGTTTACCTAAGGACACGGTAACGATCAAGGGCAAGAAAATTGTTTTAGATATTCTTTGAAATGTAGTTAAATATCTTTTTGACGAGGATGGGTGGTGATGATGGCGTAGGGGTGAGTTGAGGGGGTGGGGAGAAGAAAATAAACAGGTATCGAATTTTGTCAATTCATTTTCAAATACATACATACATATACATGTATACAAATGTATGATTCGTATGAGAAATGTATGAGAATCGTGCACGGCTCGTTTTATATTTATTAAATTACATTCGTGAAATTTCTTAACTAATAGAGAAATCGATTGAATTTATTTAATGATTTTTTCAATGAAATTTATTTAGAGTGAAAACGGGATCAGTTATAAATCGATCTTTCGTTGATTTGGATCACTAGGAAATAACACATGCACACACGCACATACTATATATATATATATATATAGATATGTATATGTATCGAATATTGTGAAGAAGGAGGTCGTAACAAGCAGGTCGTACTATCGGTGTGTGATAACCTTAGTAAAGTGCATTGTACGGAAGTAGAAAGAAGGTTCGGCTTTAATACCCATTTTCCATTGCGTGACTAGCCGCCTTCACGACACGCGATGCTGCGGCTGTTTGTCGCGAGAAGCTGTTGATTTTTGAGCTTTACGCGAGTATTAAAACGAGCGAGCGAGCGAGAGAGAAAAAGAGAGAGTGAGAGAGTGAGAGAGAGAGAGAGAGAGAGAGAGAGAGAGAGAGAGAGTTAAGTGACCACGTGGCATTAACATTTGCCAGCATTGATTAATTTATTGAATTTCTTTCTTGTTTTTTTTTTTTTTTTTTGCTCAGAAAAAAGAAATTTAGAGAAAAACTAGAGTTGAGTATATAATATGTCGTGTTTAACGGATTAAAATTATATTATGTTAATAATAATAATAATGTGTAATAAATATAATTTGTCCTTTTTTTTTTTCTTATTTAATTTTATTTTATTTTTTTGTTTTTTCTTTTTTTATTGATTTTTCTTTTATTTCTTTTTCGTTTTCTTTTCTTTTTCTCTTTTTTCTCTTCTTTCTCTTTTTTCTTGTTTTTTTTTTTTTTTTTTTTTTTTTTTTTCGAAGGATCCAAGAAATAATTATTTAACGTGACATTTGTAATACACGTATATTATACTTATTGTTAATGCGTTGTACTATGTTATATAATTTACTATATTTTCTGATTATATTTGGATAATAATAATAATATAATATATATTACGCGTTACATAACTTATTAATTATTTTTTTTTCTTTTTTTTTTTTTTTTTTTTTTTTTTTTTCTATTAATAATTATACTTATATCGTAGGACATAAATTACTATGTTATATAACTTGCTAATTATTATTATTATTATTATTATTATTATTATTATTATTATTATTATTATTATTATTATTATTATTATTGTTATTATTATCCTATTATTAATCATAATTATTATAATATGTTTCTTAATATAATTCCTAATGTAATATAGTAAATGTCCTATTGTGTGATTTATTTTTTTTCCTTCTTTTTTCGTTTTCTTTTCTTTCTTCCTTTTTTTTAGATTTCAACAAAAAAAAAAAAAAGAAATAAAAGACACAATGTTCAAATACGTACTATTGTCTCGTCGCTTTTAAAAAAAAGAACAATAAATAATTGATGGATTATTTGATGGATGGTGTCGAGATTTGGGGGGAAACGAAACAATAACGGTAACAACAACAAAAAAAGAACTACAC